TCTTGCAAAAAATGCCAAGTTCATTTATGTATGAATGGCAGGAATTGTTTTGACGATTTTCATAATAGATAGGCTCTTAAGTAATTTTCTAAACAATTATTCTTTTTTTTGTATTTTGTTAGATGATAATAATAAATTTACTTCTAGTATTAGAATAAATTAAATACTAATTAGTTAATTTGTTGTTTCTATAACATCCTTAAAGGCAACATATACATTGTGAGGTACAAGTCCTAACAAAAAAACGGATGGAGACGCAGTATTTTTTTGTTACGTATTGTTTTAGTTACCTCTTTCAAGCATATCTGCCAAATTTTATAATTTTTTAGATGTCTCTTTCTAGATGTATGCTTGAAAGGGTTAATAAATTTTGTGGAAAAAGTAGAAAACAGTAATATTTTGTGTTTTATTGCTAAATCAATATTTACCGATTACTTAATTTGGATCAAATAAATAAATAAATGAAGTCATTAGTTCAATGATTTGTTATATCTGATAGCGTGTCTTATTCTCATAACCTCTTAACTTAAAGTAGACGTCGACCTTTTTCATCGCTTCTCATTTCAAAAATGATAATTTAGATCTTCTTGTCGTTTTTATCGACAATTAAGTTAAAAAGTACCATTCATTTACAATTCTATGGACGATATTATTGATTCTGATGAATAAAAACACCATAAGGCATAATCACACTGTAGAAAGTGTGCGTCGTTATAAGTTGGAGGTTGCCTTCGAGATTAACTAGATCGTTTATTAAAAAATCTTTATATAGAGAAAATTAGATGTTCAGAATTATAATGGAAAAAACAGCTTACCAATTAGGTAGTACTACAGGCTGATTATACTTTTTTGGCAAACTACGCAATAGGTAAACGGGTGTGCCGATTAATATTACACAGACATCTTATAGTACATTATTATCATTTATAGAAAGTAGTCAATAGTGATGTAGGTTGAGTTTTTTAAATATTTTAGATTTTAGGTATATATATAAAAGATCTTGTGACGATGTAGGCAAACATATATAGTACATTTCACGAATTTGCAACTACAGTAGGGCCTCGCTAATCCGGACTCCTTCTTGTTCGGCGATCGCTATAATCCCGGCAATGGGGTTTTCACGCGGGTGTAGGTGCGAGGACTGACGTGAGCTGACCTGTCATCAGTCTTTTGTTTATCATGTTGGTACAGTGTCAATTTAAACGTACATCTTGGCGCTGTCACGTAAACATTCAACAATAATAATAAAAGATAAATTGCGGGTTATAGAAATGTTAGATAAAGGTCACAGCTATCCTATCAGGGGAGGTTTGGTATGATATAGGCAGGTCAACTATGGGCGACATAAAGAAAAACAAAGACAAAATCTTAAAGTTTGTAAGCCTAATAGAACGTGGTCCCGATGTACGAAAAACATTGAAGAAATCGAAAACCCCGTTTTAGAAGATGCTTTGTTTACGTGGTTTTTACAACAAAGACGATTACATGTTCCTGTAAGTGGTGATATGATTTATGAGAAAGCTCGTCTTGTTCATTGCCAGATTATATACTCCAATATCGAGTTTAGTGCAAGCCGGGCACGGTTAGACAAATTAAAAAACGCGACGGAATAAGACTTTTAAAAATGGTCGGTAAAAGAGTATCCAATGATGAATCCGCTCTTGGACCATTCCAACTAGAGTTACACGAAGTTATTAGAGAAAAAACATTAACATCGGAACAAGTGTACAATGCTCAGGAATCTGCTTTGTACTAGCGATTACGTGTTCTCTTATTTGTTATCGTGCACACAAAAAATGCTTGGCTTACAAAAGACTTGTTTCTTGAGTGGTTTAAAACGGAATCTGTTTCCGAAGTCTGTCGCCATCTTTTGTCTCTCAATTTGCTTCCTCGGGCACTTTTATTGTTAGATAATTGTTGTGGTCATCCATCAGCAGATGAATTTATTTCTGAAGACGGCAACATTTTTGCTATATTCCTGCCAGCTAACACCACGGCCTGTATACAACCAATGGATCAGAACGTTATGCAAAATGTAAAGTAAATTAACGCAAATCGCTTTTGGTTAACTGGCTTGCATTATATTCTGACAACCTCATCGACACATTAAAATCGATATATTTAAAGGACACTGTTTTTCTTTTGGCTAATTGCTGGGCCGACGTTAAGGTAATCTTTACTTAACAAATCATGGAAGAATGTGCATCCTGAATTTCTCACTGATAATGATGAACCAGAAGATGTTGTTCCCTTCGCCCAGATTTTTAATAGGTTGAAGAGACCCAATTATCCTCAAATAAGTAAGGCCGAAGCTCAAGAATGGGCTGCTGATGGTGCGGAAAGTGAGATACAAAGATATTGTACCGTTTTTCAATAAAACAAGCGGTTCGAATTTATATAAATATATTTATTTATAACTTTACAGTTCGGTACTATCTTATCAACTAAACTTACTCCTAACATCGTTACATATAGTGTTAACTGATGAGGACATGCAAGCGGCTATATATCAGGATGATGAGCAAGATGAGGACGACAGCGTTAAAGTTCTCGCTTCAAAAAAAGTTGGTAGTTCAGAGGCAGTAGGAGATTTCAACACAGCTTTAAATGGGCCAAAGAAAACGAATTTGATAGCCACGATGTATCCCGGTCGGCTTAGAGAGCAGACTTTTGAAATAAAGTGCGCAAATTATAAATTAGTGACGAAACAGAACACGCAAACCGAAGAGCAATAATGCTCTTCTGTCGGCGTGTTCTGTTGCGTTACTGTAATTGTTGCGTCCAATATATTTATAGTAGTAAGCTTTGCATTTTCCCCAAATATTTAATAAGATTGAATTCACAATGGTAAGGAGACCACAATGGTAATGATCCCTTGTATTCGGAGAGTTCAGATAATTCTGATGAACAAATTATACAGTGTGTAAAAGCCAAATGGAATCAATTCATTATTTAGGTTACTGTACATATTTATAAAAATCCCGAAACACGTCAAATTTAAATTATAACTTGACATTCTTTAACGTGAAAATGCAACCCCTACCTTTAACCCCCTTAGAATGACAGGTACAACCCCCAATTTTTTAAAATAGGAAGTATAGGCTTGTGATATATCGTTTGAAAGGTCTTTTCATTCTCCATTCAAAAATGTTGTCGCTTTCAAGTTTATTAAGATTAATTAAGATAAAATAAATTAAAATCATGTGGTTACCGAAATTCGCTACAATACAATCAAAAACTAAAATGTAATGCAAAACGTAATAAAATGTAGAACACGAAAAAGAACTATGAATGTTAATGAAGTAGATGTTCAAAATGTTCACCTGCGAACGTCTTGGCAACATCCTAATCTCAAATAAAACTGTCTTCTAACATTATTTAACATAACAGGCGTGATCGACCTAATCGCAAGCGTTATTCGTTCTTTTAAGTCATTTAAATCAGAAGGTTTAGTTTTGTACACATGGCTCTTTCACATATCCCCATAAAAAAATCTAATAATGTAAGATCAGGTGATCACGCTGGCCATTCAATCGATCCTCGCCTCCCTATCCACCGATTGGGAAATATTGTATCGAGGTACTGCCGGACATTAAGTTGGTAATGTGGTGGTGCTCCATCCTGCTGAAACCATATCGTATTCGCGGAACTTGAGGGTTTCCTGGATCAGGATATAAATTTGCCAACGTTGGAATGACATCATTTTGAAGTAGTGCCAAATAATTGTTGCCATTCAAGTTGCCCTCAATGAAAAAGGGACCAATGATATTGTTTCCTACAATCCCTGCCCAAACATTAACCTTTTGAGGGTATTGAGTGTGTTCTTCTCTCATCCAGTGAGGATTTTCCGTGGCCCAGTAGCGGCAATTTTGCCGATTAGCATAACCGTTAAGTGAAAAAGTACACTCATCAGAAAACATAACGTCTTCTAATTGGATAATATTGTTATCCAACATGTCCATCATTTGCTCACAAAAAAAGTTCCTATCAAAATCGTCTTCCATGAGCTCCTGAGTAGGTATCATCTTATAGGGATGCAATTTATTTTCTTTTAATATGTTTACTATCGATGTATGGCTAGCATTGAATGTAGTGGATGCCTGTCTACTCGATGTATGTGGATTTTCCTGAAACTCAAGCAACACATCTAATTTGAGTTCATCACTCAGTGCATTGGCAGCTGCTTTTTTTATCTGCCTTACATGACCAAACTCGCGAAACTGCTTCTCTATTTTACTTATTGTTCCTTGGGATATAGGCGGTAAATTAGGAAATTTCTCATGAAATAGGCGAGTTACTTCCTGTTGTGTTCGGTGTTATCTCCGTAACCAATCATTTGTAAAACTGTTATTTTATGCATTTCCGTTAATCTAACCATTTTTCAGAATTGAATTGAACGAACTTTTTACTTAAATTAAAATACTGACAACTTAAATAAAACAATTTACTAATGCGTGTTAAAATAACGTTGCCACGGAAATTCTTTAAAGTTTTTTAATGGTTACCATCTAAAAACCACATTGCTATGGTTTTTGTTCACTTTCTCATTATCAAGACCTAAACGGGAAATAAGTTTTGAGTATATTTTAGCGAATTTCGGTAACCACATGATTTTAATTTATTTTATCTTAATTAATCTTAATAAACTTGAAAGCGACAACATTTTTGAATGGAGAATGAAAAGACCTTTCAAACGATATATCACAAGCCTATACTTCCTATTTTAAAAATTGGGGGTTGTACCTGTCATTCTAAGGGGGTTGAAGGTAGGGGTTGCATTTTCACGTTAAAGAATGTCAAGTTATAATTTAAATTTGACGTGTTTCGGGATTTTTTATAAATATGTACAGTAACCTAAATAATGAATTTATTCCATTTGGCTTTTACACACTGTATAAAAAACGAAAACTTTTGTATCGTAAAACGTCAAAATATTATAGGGTATGTCAGATACTACATATTTTTCTTATGACCGGTTTGTAAAATACACAAATTTTTAGGTTAACGTAAATCAAATTAGAAATTTGGGCTGTGGGACTTCAAATTTGGAAGCTGAAGAAATGAGTAATCAAAATGTGAAAGGACATAATTCTACAAGTTCAGTTCAGGTATGATGGCTTTGAAGTTTAAGCAAAAATTAAAATTAAACTTTGGACTTTTTTAGGTCAGTGAAAAGGCAGATTTGGATTCTAAAGAAGTCATTAAGCAAATTACGCAACCGACAAGAAATTTAGAGACACGTGTTGTATGATATGATGTTGTTGGTAACTTGAATGCTTTTTCTCTTCAGCAAAATAGTTCTCCAACTTTAAATGTTGATGATAGTTCACTTTCATTTTATAAACTTCGACTGACGGAAGATATACTTATCGTTTGGTACCGAAACCAATATTTATGCCAAAAAATTATTATTGTTCTGAAGCTATTTTCTTGTGGCATTTTAAATTAATTACTATTTAACTTTGAGAACGATTTCCGAAGTGGAAATTGAAACGTCAATAAACGTATTTTAACCTTTAATTGTGGCTAATTCCCAGTTAAATAGTAATTAACAAATAATTAATGGTATTATCAATGAATCAGTAACACGAAATTCTTTTCTAATTAATTGGACTGATACAAATAAGGAAGAAGTTATAACATTCTTGGTCATACTCATAAGGATGGGCCTAAATCCAAAACCACAACTAAGACACTATTAGAGTACAAATTTTGATCATAAATGTTCCATTTATAAAAGTTCACAGATGTCAAGAAATAGATTTGAGGTACTCAAATAGCATATTGTATATACTGTTATACTGTATATATTTAGCTAGGTATTAAATTTGTTGTGAAGACTAAATATTTCAATTAATACTTGTTTTCCTTTTTATTTCAGCAAACAGTTTTACAAGATACCTTGGAAGGTATATGTTAATGCTTTCCTGGCGCCCAATCACATCTTACAGCAACTTCCATAGTTTATCACTTTCATTGACATTATTTCTATATTTTTTTTATTACCTTGTCATTCATTTTCTCATTTTACGGTCTCTTGAGGGCATGCAAATTGGCTGAATCCTCTTTTGAGTGTCAAGTAGTCACTCTCCGGCACATTCTGCTAGCCGGCTTTAATTAATTTGTTTTTTTGTCACATTGGCGCTATACAAGGTGAGTCATGAGGAACTTTACATACTTCTACCATATGTAGAGTCCCTCAGGGAGCATATCATGTGGCCACTAAAAAATGTCAACTCCTCTTCTTTATTAATTACCAGGGTGATTTGTGTAATTGATCATTTATTTCATTTTACTGTAGTGTTTATACGGCTCATTTGATTTCTTTAATTTCTGCATGATACAGTACACTACTATTCAAGCATTCGACTGGTATTAGCTAAACTAAAAAATTTCAGGACTGGCTTTGGAAAATTAATTTAGGGATTCGTATTAAACATTACACCCTGTATATATATATTTTTTCAAATGCAATAAGTGATTTTTAAACTACATAAATAGCCAATGAAAACGACATATATGCGACAATGTTGTCGCACTTTTATTAAATTTTTAGTGAACGATAAAATCTTACCAAAAATAGAACAACCATAATGAAGTATCAAATTATAAGGTATTAATTTAACCAAATGTTATAAATTTCAAACATTTTAATTAAAATGAGTTCCTACAATATAATCTAATACGTAGAAAATTAACATCTTTACTGTTACTTTGTATTATCTCTACGATAGAATCAATTGTTTTTCAATTTTAAATTTTTACTCATAGATCGTATTGGGGCATTATTTTCGATAAATAATAAATTAAATTGATTAAAAAGTCAAACCTCTTGTATGTGTTAGTTTTTGTTGATTGTAAATGATTAAAATTTCATGTCAAATAATAATACATTGCATCAATGTACTAAATAAAAATAAATCTAAAAAAGTTTAAAATGAAGGTTGGCGTTGACCATTTGACGTTTCTTGATATTTTATACTCATTGTCATTATTGTCATTATCAATTGTTATTTATGTGTACAAGAATACATATTTCTTATGTCATATCTACGTTAAGTACATTGTGTTAGTTTTGGTAGAGCTTTTGTTACTTTCGTTCAAAATGCCACAGCAGTTTTCGACCACAGAATATGCAGACATAATATTTGTTTATGGATTCTGTAATGGAAATGTAGGGCTGCTAGTAGAGAATATCGCAGGAGATTTCCTAATCATCGAACTCCCAGTCATCCAACAGTTGGGTCAGTTTTTAATTATTTGCGAGAAAATGGCACTTTTCCTAGTGAAACAACAGAGCGACATGTAGATGAAGCGCAGGAAGATGACATTATGGACGCCGTTACTATGAACCCTACAATAAGCACTAGACAAGTAAGTCGAGAACTCAATGTTACTCAATCAAAAGTAAGTAGTGTCTTACAAAAAAATAATCTATACCCATATCACATTCAAATGGTTCAGCGACTACATGCTGGAGATGAGATCGATAGGTTGGAATTTTGTAGATGGATTAACAATAATCGACCAACGCTATACAGGACACATTGTTTCACATTGAAATTCACATGTGTGGGCAGAAGAAAATCCCCATGCTATTCGAGAACGTCGTTCTCAGTTATGGATTTTCGGTTAACGTGTGGATTGGTGTCATAAATAACCAATTAGTAGGTTCTCAGTGAATATTAATAACCGACAACAATTAATTGATAGAATTATACATTGTTGTAATACTATTAGAAACGATCCCCAGAGTATCCGTAATTCAATACGTCAATTAACAATTCGGCAACAAAAATTTGTACAGGCTGCAGGGTTCCATTTCGAAAATCTATTTTGAATTATTTTTATTTTGTTACCATTATTGTATCTTTTCCAGTTCTAATTTATGGATTTATCATAACTATGTACATATTTTTAGTTTTTTTTTTAAATTGTTCTTCGTTATTGTTAGTAGTTACTGTTTTTTGTTGTGCAGTGACTCAGTTTATCATTTCAATTAAAATGTTTGAAATTTATAACATTTGTTTAAATTAATTACCTTATAATTTAATACTTCATTATGGTTGTTCTATTTTTGGTAAGATTTAATCGTTCACTAAAAATTTAATAAAAGTGCGACAACATTGTCGCATGTGTCGTTTTCATTGGCAATTTATGTAGTTTGAAAATCACTTATTGCATTTTAAAAAAATATATATACAGGGTATAATATTTAATACGAATCCCTAAATTAATTTTTCAAAAGCCAGTCCTGGAATATTTTAGTTTAGCTAATACCAGTCGAATGCTTGATAGTAGTGTACTGTATCATGCAAAAATTTAAAAAATCAAATGAGCCGTATAAACACTACAGTAAAATGAAATAAATGGTCAATTATACAAATCACCCTGTTAATTAATAAAGAAGAGGAGTTGACATTTTTTAGTGGCCACATGATATGCTCCCTGGGGGACTCTACATATGGTAGAAGTATGTAAAGTTCCTCATGACTCACCCTGTATTGTAAATTTGTTAAATTAACCCAAATACTTTTGTTACATCCTCCTCCTCCTCAGTCCTAATCTCTTTTGGGATGTGGTGACACCATCGGACCTTCACAGTTTTTTTACGATTTCCCTCCATCCTTCTCTGTCCTGGGCTAGTTGTTCTGCTTCATGTAACCCTTGGTTAATCAATATTTTTGTTTGATCTACCCAACGGCTTGTAGATCTTTCAATGGGTCTCTTTTCTTCAACTCTACCCTCGACTATCAGTTTTTCCATCGTGCCTGTTCTTCTAGCAATGTGTCCAAAATACTGCAAATATCTCTGTTGTATTTGTTTAAGCAATCTATCCTTCACTTTAAGTTGTTCTAATATCGATACGTTAGTGCGATGATCAATCCAGGATATTCTCAACATGTGGTGGTATACCTACATTTCAAAAGCGTCCAGTTTATTTTTATCCGCTTTCTTTAAGGTCCACGTTTCGGATGCATATGTGGCTATGGGAAAAATGAGCGCCCTTACCAGCCTTAGCTTTGTGTTACATGACACAGACACATTTTTGTTACAGTCAGACAGGCAGAAGTTTCAAAAAATGGATAACTGAACACAGAGCTAGTTTCATGTATGAAAACACTAATTCCACATAATCCAATTATTTAGTTAAAGAAAATTATGAATTTAACCATAATTTTGAAATTATACAGTATTTGATTCTATTTACCCTACCCTATATATTGTATATTCATCATATGAATAATCAATGTTTGTCTTCTTTAGATTTATTTTCCACATGAAGGATATTTTTTTATCTTTTGTATTTACAAATGTTTCTTGTGGTCGTATCTAAAACATATGTACTAACTAACTACTGACACTGATGGAATGAAAGACCAATCCCACCTTAACACCATTTCAAAAGTAGCAGATTTCACGGTTGAGATAATGGCAAACATTACAATTATCTTCGTTCACCTCGAGCACTAACTCATATTTTATGTTCTACCAATATTACTAACCTTACCTACTTAAAATAATTTATTTGAGATTTGTAGAATTCTTCCCGTAATTATTCAGTACCTAGTTAAGAGTCCATTCATGATTTTCTCCCATTCATTCCGATAGTTATAAATGGCAGATCGTTACTGAATACTATAGTCTAAAAATATTGCGAATATTATTTACGTTCTTTGTTGTGCTGCCTGATTAGAGACTATTCGAACCATAGGCTAATCAATGGGGGTCTCGAAAAGTGTTTACTAAAACATTTTTGTATGGATATTATTTTTTTACGAGTTTGATGACTTGATGTTATTGTTATTCAAGAAAATATTAGTTATAGCACACAGCATCGATATTTACCTTGTTGAAACTCGATTTCTTTCAACAATAAGCGCGTTTAAAGCATCATTATTCACTGTAAATTAGCAACGGAAAATTATTTAAATAAAAAACTCCTTTAATTGAAATTTTTTTTTGGACTAAAGGTGGCATTTGTTTAAATCGATATCTATCGTCGACGAACGATGTAAGTTTGGTCAACTGCTGTCAAAAAAATGAACATTAAAACGACTAATACTAATACTACTAGGTACTTAATAATAGCATAAATTACCTAACCTGTGGAAGTTTTTGTCAGTTTATTCTATCGGGCGAATCCCCCTGCGAATGGAGGATGCTTTCCGTAGAACAAAAACCGACACCTGTCATATAATCAGCCACAGCTCAACAATAAGAAGAACCAAAAGTGAGCCAAACAACAAC